AGAGGCAACAGACTATGGCTAAAGACTCAACGCCAAACTGCAGCAAGCGGAGTGGCCCCTCCCACCCTGCCTGTTATTATTTCCCCTAAACCTCATGCTCTTTATTCAGCATCGCACCTAGTCCAGCTCCTTCATTATCTCGGCAATTTGCTCCATCTCCTCTGCGGTCTTGTTCTCACCCTGACCCAAAGTGGGCCCACAACTTTAGCCTGGCCTCACCTTGGACAAGCCGCTCCTTTTCTGCCAGAGTATGGCTGGCGTATGATCCTTCTCTCCAATTCAAATCACAGCTCAGCCAAGGCTTTTTTTAGCCAACATTCCATTCTGCCCTGGCCAGCATCAGTCCCACACAGCAAAGAGAGCTGCAGCAACCATTCCCATGTCTTGAGCACACAGGCGAGAAAGAGGAAAAAGCATTTGGTAGAAGAAGCCCGTTCTACAGCCTCCCGATGGCAACTGTGTCATCTGTAGATGGGGCAGTAGAACAAACCCTGGAGGAGCTGAACCCTGAGCGTGCACTATTTCCTGCCAGCCGACAACCTGGCTCCTGAAGGTGGAACCACAAAGTCTGAGGGGCTTTATGATCCAGCTGCACTCAATTACCCTCTCAGTTTGCATTTAATCACGTCAAGGCCCTAATTAAACCGAAAAGTCAAAGCAGGTCATGTATCAGACAGCTCAAATCTAGATGGGCTTCCAACTGGCACATCTGTCTACTGGGAGGCGGGAAGTTGAGAAGGAGATGGAAGCGTCACTCCTCTCCCCTGTCTGCCACACTCAGTAAAAAGGTAAAGGTTCCCTTGCTCGAAAGCCAGTCGAATCCAGGGTTGCGGTGCTCATCTCCTATTTATCTACTTGCAATTTCTTGCTTTCGAACTGCTAGGTTGGCAGGAGCTGGAGCTAGAGATGGGAGCTCACTCCATCATGCGGCACCCGGGTCTTGAACTGCTGAACTACTGACCTTCCACAGCCTGCAGTTCAGCATCTTAACCACTTGAGCCACTGCAGCTCCTGCCACACTCAGTACTCCTGCCCAAAAGATCAAAGATCAACTCAACTTTTGAGCCACCTCACGTTTTTACATTTAAAGTTGTATAGAATTTACATCTCACCCAGCAAGTCAAGAGCCTTGGACCTTACTGTTTACAGGGTTCCCCCTCACCTTTCGTATTTGTGTATTTACACACATGCACACCACATGCGCCTGATGAAGTGGCCTTTGAATCCACGAATATTTAAGCTAGAATAAAAACGAATCAGTCTTTCAAAGACCACAGGAGCAGTTTATTTTAGCTACAACAGGCTAACTTGGCTACCCCTGCAAAATTACCAGTTCAACTTTGTTCAACTTTGCTTTTATTGTGAACACTTTCTTGGATTTTTTATATTAAAAAAAACCCCTCAAGCCATGCACGTATTGACGTGCAAGACCTGAATTAGGGCCAGTTAGTGTTCTTCTGCCTCTTTCCAACTTCCTCTGGAAAGCTTATGTTGCCAGCAGCCAATTCTAGCAATAAATCTATTTCGCTTTCTGAGAGGTTGGATAGGACTTTGGCTACACCCAGAATTCCGGTTCTCTGTGAATCCAGCAGTGCCCTCTTCTGGCAGAAAAGAGGATGTGCCCTTGCAAGGCCTGATTTCATTGCATAGGGCAAGATAGAAAAGCCACAAACTCAGTCCTTAGTAGGAGGTTAAAAACTGGATTTAAAACCAGCAGTCACGACATAGAAGTGTCTGAAGAAGGCAACCTGCTTAGTACTAATCTATCAAAGCACTCTGTCCTTCTTGCAGCGGCAATGTCCAGCTCCCAGAGAGATCAGCAGCACAATTCCCAATTGAGAAGGGCCCGATTTCCACCCAGACAACCAAACCACTGGTGGCAGACTGCCAGTGCAGGTGAAGGCAACAGACATGGCTTATGGCCATCATCGCTTCCCAGACCTGCACAGACACCAGCTGAGTCCAAGGCAAATCCTGAGATCCTGACAGCATAGCTGGGGCTTAGCTCACTCCAAACTTATTTGGCTAAGTACAGTCCTCCCCGCCCCCCAATTTTGTCTGCTGACACACCAAGCATCTTCAAAGGTACATGGTGCATTTTTTCTGGCACTCGAACCAAAAAGGTTGCCTACCCCTGCCCGAGATAAAATAACAGATATCCAGCATGAGTGCAAGTCTTCATTCTGCCATGGGCATCTTGAGAAAGTCCCTTCTGTCCCCCCACCAACTCATTTCCTGCAGCTGTGAAAGTGGAATAGCAATGGTCTACTTCACAGGTGACAAATTCTAGAGATGAAGCCCTTGCAAGTTCATTAAAACACACATACATACACACCTGTCTTGCGGCATCTTAAGTAGATTATATATAAAACAGGAAGCTATGGTCCCACTGCTTAGCTTTTGCTATATAAGCACGTGTACACATGCATACCTTTGCCAACTGAGGATCCACTTCCTGCATCTGTCCAAGAGGGCTCCAGTCCACAAAAGCTCCTGACACATTTGATAACCTTTGAGGTGCCCCAAGACTGTACTTTGTTCCTGCTTCACAAGGGGTATTGTGAAGGCAACCAGCCCTTTGAATTTAATAAATCATAGAATCATAGAATTGGAAGGGATCGCCAGGAACCAGGGTCATCTAGTCCAAGCCTCTGCACAATGCAGTTAATTCACAAATACCTCCCCCTCCACACCACACCCACAGTGACCGCTGTTCCACACCCAGAATATGACAAAAACCCTCCAGGATCCCTGGCCAAACTGGCCTGGAGAATAATTGCTTCCTGACCCCAAAGTGGCAATCAGCATTTCCTTGGGCATAAGAAAGGGCTCTAGTTCCAGCTCCTGCCAACCTAGCAGTTCGAAAGCAAGAAATTGCAAGTAGATAAATAGGTACCACTTCGATGGGAAGGTAACAGCGTTCCGTGCGCCTTGGTGTTAAGTCATGACGGTCACATGACCACGGAAACGTCTTCGGACAGCGCTGGCTCTTTGGGTTTGAAACGGAGATGAGCACCCCAACCCTAGAGTCGGATTCGACTGGCTTTCGAGCAAGGGAACCTTTACCTTTAAAAAAGGGCCACAAGAACTAAGCACTGAGGTAACCCTTCCTGCCCTCCCTCTCATGATCTGCCTGTCCACAGAATCACCATTGCTGTCAGATGGCCATCTAGCCTCTGTTTGAAAGCCTCCAAAGAAGGAGAGCCCACCACTTCCCGAAGAAGCATGTTCTACTGAGGAACTGCTCTGTCAGGAAGTTCTTCCTAACGTTTAGCCGAAAACTCTTCTGATTTAATTTCAACTCATTGGTTCTGGTCCAACCTTCTGGGGCAACAGAAAACAACTCCACGCCATCCTCTAGATGACAGCCCTTCAAGTACTTGAAGATGGTTATCATATCACCTCTCAGTCATCTCCTCTCCAGGCTAAACATACCCAGCTCCTTCAAACTTTCCTCATAGGACTTGGTCTCCAGACCCCTCACCATCTTTGTTGCCCTCCTCTGGACACGTTCCAGCTTGTCTATATCCTTCTTAAATTGTGGTGCCCAGAACTGAACACAACACTCTAGGTGAGGTCTAACCAGAGCAGAGCCAAGTGGTACCATCACTTCACGTGATCTGGGCGCTATACTTCTGTTGATACAGCCCAAAATCACATTTGCCTTTTTAGCAATTGCATCACACTGCTGACTCATGTTCAGTGTATGGTCTACTAAGACCCCTAGATCCTTTTCACACATACTACTGGCAAGACAAGCCTCCCCTAACCTATCATTTATGCATTTGATTTTTCCTACCTAAATGCCGCACTTTACATTTATCCCCATTGAAATTAATTTTGTTTTAGCCCAGTTTTCCAGCCTGTCAAGATCATCCTGTATCCTGACTCTGTCTTCTACCGTATTTGCTACCTCTCCCAAGTTAGTATCATCTGCAAATGTAATAAGCATTCCCTCTATCCCTTCATCCAAATCATTGATAAAGATGTTGAACAAAACAGGTCCCAGGACAGATCCTTGAGGCACTCCACTTGTCACTCCTCTCCAAGAAGATGAGGAACCATTCACAAGCACTCTTTGGGTGCGATCTGTCTAGGTGGCTCAGTATGATCAACATTACCATTTGCCAGAGAGCCTGGATCTGAGACCTGCTGCCCATCACAAAGGGCAAAACAGGAGAATTGACACAATTTGGTAAAAGTAGAGCTTTGCATATGTTCTGTGCTTCCAAGTTCATACCACACGCAAACACCATTTAGTGCCACCTGCAAAGAACAGCAGGGGAGAGGGAGAACAATGCCTGGTGGAAATACTGAGGTCAAAGCAAGGCTGAGCAGGACTGCGGGGGGGGGGGGAAGGGGGCTAGGATTTCATTCTCTGAAGACCTCCCCTGTTCAGAGCCAGTTTGGTGTAGTGGTTAAGTGTGCGGACTGTAATCTGGGAGAACCAGGTTTGATTCCCCAGTCCTCCACTTGCAGCTGCTGGATGACCTTGGGCAAGCCATAGTTCTCTCAGAGCTGTTCTCTCAAGGACAGTTCTGGAAAGAGCTCTCTCAGCCCCACCTACCTCACAGGGTGTATGTTGTGGGGAGGGGAAGGGAAAGGAGTTTGTAAGCCGCTATGAGACTCCGAGTGAAGGGCGGGGTATAAATCCAATCTCTTCTCTTCTACTACTAAGTATATCCTGGTGAATAATTGCCACCTTCTCCTGTGCAGGGCAGACACAGCCTTGGGTATAAGGAAGCTCCCGACATCATGGCAACCTGGACTACCACATTTTCTCCCTACCTCACCTCCCCCTACCACGTAATCATGCCACAGCTTCCTCCAGTCCCACAGAGGTGGATGCAAAAGACCCTCCCTTTTCTCCACCTTCCTGACCCCAACGAGTCCTTGCTGTGAGGCCTCTGCACACATGGGGAACTGTTTCCCCCAAGGTGAATTTGGTTGCTTTGCTGGGTTTGAGAAAGATGAGACAGACACACAGAGGAGCTTCTGGAAAACCATGTTCATATTTGACTCCCCTCAAGAGCAGGGAAAGCGAAAGCGAATTCTAAAAATCCCAACATGTGTCCGTCAATCAAAAGGCGCCCTCAGACCTTCAAACCCCCAAGTTCTGCAGTTCAAAGCGGCTGCCAAGTCCAGTCTTCTGTAAAAGGAGTAAGACACAAGTCCATCCACAGGCAGAGGGCCATGCTGGGGAAAGCTCATGGGGTTTTTTCTCCCTGCCACATCAACAAAGGCAGAATTCAAAATCCCCACATCCCCCCTTCCACAGTTGAGTCATCACAGTTCTATGTTCCGCAAAAGTTTTCCCTTTTTGTGGTTTTTGGCCCCTCCTCCATCACTGGCCCTGGAGTACTGGAGCTGTCTTTGTCAATCACCCACATGACCAAAGGGAAGAAAGAATGCAGCAGGCACGGAGGGGACTGGCCCTGCCACATACTAATCAGATCACCCCTCCCCAAAAAAATCCCCCCCCAAAATGCTCAAGTTCAAATTTGTTGAATTCTAAAATTTCATTGATCTTGGAATAGTCTGCAACAGTTCCTGAAGCCAGTCTTTTCACGGCACAATTGAAGTCACCGATTTCGGGGGGAAGTGGAACATTTAATGGCAAACTTCGAGAAGTCAAAAACGGAAATCCCCAAAAACTTAATTAAATTGTGCTGAACAACTTTGGGCATCTGAAGACTGAAAAGCAGGATTCCAAGGCAGGTTTCAAATACAGACTTTGTTTCAATGCTCCTTAAAACTTTTTTTTCTAAAAAAAACCCCCCAAAACAATTCATTACAAGTTTTGTGTCCACCCCACCCCCACCCACACACCCCCGGGCCTTTTTCTAGGGATTCGGGGTTGGGTTTGTGCACGTGCGCAGAAACCCCAGGTTGAAAACTCAAGCCTGCAATGAATGAAATCCCAGACTGCTTCTGGGAGAGATGGGTCTGAAGCTCAGGGAAATCATCAAGAACTGCCACAGGGAATGGAGGAGCCAAACGCCGCCTTCATCCAGATCCCACTGCAGCAACTGCCCCACAAACCAAAGCATCCATTCCAACTGACGCAGCATCCATCAGGCCTGGCCATCCGCACGTCCGCAGTCCCCAACACTTGCCGGCCCCGGGAGCTGCACTTCCCTAGTCCAGGCCACAGCTCTTTCTGTGGAGTTCTGTAGGTGGCAAGGACTGGGAGGGGAAGGGGGGGCCCTCTCTTTGCAAACACACTCTGTCCGCAGCAGCCACAACTATCAGGCAGGAATTCAGCCAGCTGCAGGGACCGGTTCATCTCCTTCCATGGCCAATGGGAGAACGGGTGAGCCCCCTCACATCATGATGTGCCTCCGGCGATGCAAAGCCAAGTGGTCAGAGCGAGAAAAGCTGCGGTCGCAGTCCGAACAACGGAAAGGCTTGATGCCTGTGTGCTTTCGGAAGTGCCGAGTCAGCTCATCAGAGCGAGCAAACTTCCAGGTGCAACCCTCCCAGGTGCATTTGTACGGCTTCTCTCCTGCAGGGGAAAGAGGGAAGGTGATCAGGGAACGCCCCAGCATTCATTTCAACAAGGGGGGGGGGGAAGGTGCAGAGGTAAAGCGATCAAGGCTACAAACTTGGATGCGAAAAGCTGGGGGCGGGAGGGTATACTTCCTTTGGCCTTCCACTGCCCCCTCCCATCCAGTGTTCTGTTTTGCAATGTGGCAAGTCTGCGCAAGTTAATATGCGATGCTTGCTCCTTTGTGGGACCGCCGCTGCAGTGAGAACATGCACTGTTCACTACACTAGCTAGAATAATTAACATAATTAAGTAAATAAGTGGATTTGTTTGCAGAGCTTGCACAATTTCCCCAAATGTTTTGCCATGGCCGCACACATCTCTGTACCCCTCAGAAGGACTCAACTCATGTAACCTTTTGGCAACCTAGGCTGAAGAATGCCCTGGAACACGGGGTTGGACTGGATGACCTCTGGGTTTACCTTCAGCCCAGGACTGAACATATGAACCTCCTTAAATACCAAGTTGGGCCTTTTGTCCATCCAGCTTAAGACTGCCTCCTCTGACTAGCAGCAGCTCTCTGTGCACACAGGCAAAGAAAGCTCTTTCACACCACCAGTCAGCTGTTTAATCAGGGATGCCAGAAATCGGCCTAGCGGCCTTCTGAACAGCCATTCTGCCCATCAGCCCCTGTGCTCCTCTCCTCCTAATATTTTAAAATTATTCTTTAAAAATCCAACCAAAGCTCATTCTTCCTTGTGACTCTTATAGATTCACAATAGAAAAAGACAGGGGCAATAGGTGGGCCGCAACTGACAGGTGCCCCCCCCCCAGTTGAGAGAGCCCCACTCCCATTCAAAGCTTGCAATAGCAAAAATCGGGGCGAGAACAGGCAGCCGAGGAGCCAGCCGCACTCTTCCCCTGGGCCCAGCAGTCCTCTGGGAGACAATGGATGGCAGGGACCCCCAGTGGGGGCAGGTGCAACTCAGGCAGACGGCTGGGCTGGGAGTCCCTGACTGCATCCCAGGGCCCGACAGAAGGAGTCCCTTGGCTCTACAAAGGATATTGTTGGTGGTGCAGAGGAAGAAAAGGGGGCTGTGATGAGAAGCCAAATGGGCTGGTGGAGGGGAGGGGAGTTGCTAGGATACCAGAGGGCTGAGAGGATTCCAACCTGGAGGACGGAACAGGTTGCTAGGAAACCTGTGTGGGAGGATCTGGAGGATGGAAGGGGTTACAGGGATGGCTGCTCAGCACTGGCAGCCCTTGCTGCCGCAGCAGCTGCAAATCTGAGCCGTGCAGGAGCCCGACAGCCCGATGGGAAGAGAGCCCAAGCTGAGAAAGAGCCGGTTCTGTTCTTCCCCCACCAAGTGTGTTTGGGGCCAAGGGGGGTGGATCTCAAGAATCCAGAAGATAAAACTCCTGGCTGGCTTGCCTGGCATGGGCATCATCGGGAGCTCTCTAGGGAGGGCGGCTGTGGGTGGCCTGGAAGAAGTCTCACGTGGGGCTCTGGTAGAAGCAGGGCAGGGTTGCTATCTATTTGGCACTGCAGTGATACGAACCAGCCAGAAGCGCACTGGACCCCAGCAGGAGTAGCCCCAGCCTCCCAGGTATCCCCAAGGACCCATCACTCTGTTGTCATCACAGGCGTTGGCAGAAGGAGCCCTGGGAAAATCCAGCTATCCACGAGAGTCAGATGAGGGCCATCTAGTGGACAGTTCATGTCCCTACAATGTTGTTTTTAGCTGCCAACTGAGGGCAACACTGTAGGGTTTTCAAGGCAAGAGACGTTCAGAGGTGGTTTGCCATTCCTTGCCTCCACGTCATGACCCTGGGATTCCTTGGAGGTCTCTCATCCAAATACTGGCCAGGGCAGACCCAGCTTTGCTTCGGGGATCTGGTGACAGCGGGCCAGCCTGGACCATCCAGGACAGGGCATAATGCTCCGCTACTGCCATCCAAAAAACAGAACACCATCTGCGGAATACCCTTCATTAGGGCCAACCCCAATGACATAAAGAAGCGTGCACCCTGGTGAACTTGAAAGCCAGCATGCTGTTCGGTGCCATTCTGGCAGGCTTGTGTTCTTCTTTTAGATTTTACTTGGCACTTGACACAGCTGCCAATCATTTCTTATTACCACTGGAACAACGTTTGAGTCCAGTAGTACCTTTGGCCACTGGACTCAAACTTTGTTCTGTTGCTTCAGATCAACATGGCTACCCACCTGACTCTTACTACCACTAGTAACTCTTAGGGCTGAGGCACTTTCTGTAAAAAATATATTTCACTGGTGACAAATGGTGCACCTACCCTTCAATGATTTTCGGGGGTGTGTGTGTGAAATGCATCCAGAAATGGGGTAAACAAAGGGATTGCCCACACAGAGGAGAATGATTGGTGATCTGATTGGCTGGGATTACTCGTGGAAGTCAACAGACTGTCCCAACATTCATGCTGCCTGTGATGCCTTTACTTTCCCCATGTCATCCTGGATTGACTGGGATCCCTCCAAGATAACCAAAAAAGCCCCAACCAGACAAACAATCAAACAAAAACCAAAGCAGGAGATGAAGAGCTAGTTTAGAAAAGGAAGTTGACTATTAAGGGCTTTTACAGCATATATATCCCCCCCCCCCCCGGCCCCTACTGCTCTCTTTTTGGACCCCAAACTGAAACTGGCAAGTGTGCAGAGCAAGCCTTTGCTTACACCATCTGGCTGAACTAGCAGAAGCAACATGGGAAAGGTCATCTCCCAGAAAGGCTGCACAGAAGAAGCAGGTCGGGACGCATCTGAAGGAGGAGAGTGAGCTGGTTAAGCAGGGGGGAATGGGAGGGGACTGTTCCAGGCACACACAAAAAAAGCAGAAAGGCAGGAGGAAGCAAGTGGGACCGAAAGCAGATGAGTTTCCCAGAAAGATGAGCCAAAAGGGGAATAAAGGGCTTCAGTTCTGCAACGGAGCACACAGTCTCCACACAGATAGTCCCAGGTTCAATCCCAGGCATCTCCAGGTGTTTTTTTTTAAAAAATCTCAACTTGCAGGGCTGAGCAAGAGCTATGGCCAATCCGAAGACTCAATTCTGAACTGGATGGATTTCCTGGCAGCTAAAGGAACAAGTGGCATCTGGGGAACAATTCTGGAAGTAGGAGGGATTGGCTCTGTTTCCTGAGAGCCCTCCTCCAAAAGCACATACCTGTATGTATCCTCCTGTGTGCTTTTAAGTGTGAACTCTTTGTGTAAACTTTGTTGCAGCCCTCGAAGTCACACTGGTGGATCCGCCTCTTCTTCAGGTCAGGAGAGTCTGCCAGCTGCATTCGTCCCGCTGAGGACCTAGCCAGAGATTTGGGGGGGGGGGGTGGCCATCAGCACACTGCTCCAGTGCCAAAGTCCCATCCCCATTGGAGGCTGGCTTCCCAATTTCACCCCTGCCAGGGAGGACCTAAGTTGCAGGCATTCATGGGTCCCACATAGAGGTCAGGTCACTGGTTTATCTACTTGGCAGAAGCAGCTCCATGTATAAGGTGCAGGCCCTGCCACCTCCCCCATGATCACAGCAAAAGGGATTATCGGGTGTACTTTGGGGTAGGGAGATCTGTGCATTCAAAATATACTGTCCTTGCAATGGGACGTAAGTTGACTGGATAACTGGAAACAGACTGGCAGCTGAGGGGGAGGCTACTGAAAGTAGGGTGAAACTGCTTTATTTCTAAAATAAAAAAGCAGATGCATGTAAAGCAAAATGTGGCCAGTTTCCACATCTTGGCTCCCCTGGCTGCCCTGGCAGTCCCCCTCCTCCAAAGGCCAACACTCACTCTCTCTGCAGGTCCGAGAAGAACGCTGGGCCGCTCTCCACGGCACTGTCTTCACTGTCGCTGTTCATCTCCATGGGGCACATGGAGCTCGGGTCAACTTTCACTGCGGAGAAAAGGGGAAAGGCACTAAGAGAAGGGACAGGCACGCACACACTAGTAGTTCACATTTGCTGAGAGGCATCCACGATAGTCCAGGCAATGCCAAATGGCATGCAGGGAGGGATGGTGTGGGCGAGACTTCAGAGTCAGAGCTCTTATATTTCCGATCCTTCCACATTTCGCCACCACTACATCTCTGCCTGTACCAAGATGACTAAAGGCAAGACTACTGCTCCCAGGAGTACTGTAACACTGCATGTCAAGCTCTGCCACCTATGCAATCCTGAAAGTCAGGATCTCCAGGAAGTCTCATTCCATCCAGGCACACATGCAAAATGTTTGGTTAAAAATGGAAAAGAGAGCACATGCCTAAAGGCCACTGTTCGCTATGGCTGCCTCCCCACATCAGTAATATAGGCCCAGAGGGAGAGGGGCAGTGGAGAAGCCAGGTTCCCAGCAAGCTTAAAGCAAAAAATTCACTATGTTCAGCTAAACGAGGCCTTGCTGATCCTGCTGGGATTTGCTTGGCCAAACAGAATAGCAGCCTGCCAGGAAATAAGGGGCTATGCAAGTAGAGACTGAGAGCAGAGGGAAAGTGGTCTCACTCCAGAAGCACGCTAGACGAAGAAGAGGCTCACCAAAGCCAGCGTTCTTGCTTAAAATCAAAAAAGTGGCAGAGCGAAATCCTGGGGGAAAGCCAACGGGAGATGAAATGCCTCTGGTTTGGGATGGCTCATCTCTAAGGGATGAAGGAATCACTGTTACAGTTCTAAAGGGGAATTGATTAGGACTGGCCACAGAGAGGGTGACAAACGACTGCCTGATCAGGTCTAGAGGCCACAGGAGGAAGGTTGCAGGGCTAACATGTCTGGGGAATTATAGACGTTTATATACAAATGCTAGACATGTCTAAGGTAAAGTGGGGGAGCTGGAATGCTTAGTGTCAGGGGGGAACATAGACATTGTGGGCATTTCAGAAACTTGGTGAGATGAGGATCATCAGTGGGATACAGTAGTTCCTGGATATAAATCATATCATAAAGACAAGGAGGGAAGGGTCAGCGATGGAGTGGCTCTGTATGTCAGAGAGGGTAAACAGTCCAGTAAAACTGAGAATCTAAGAGAAATAGATTCGGTTACAGGTTAACTCTGGGAGTTTGTTTTTGCCCACCAGATCAAAGGTTAGAGGATGATTTTAAAACAGCAAAAGAATTAAGGAAAGCAGCTACATTAACTAACTGTGTCATAATAGGTGATTTCAACTGCCCACACATTGATTGGGTCAATATGTGTTCAAGTCAGGAGAAAGAGATTGGGTTCTAGATACTCCCAATGACTATGCCACAGAGCAGATGGTCACAGAGCCCACCAGAGGGGAGGCAATCCAGGACTTGGTCCTAAGTAATGCTCAAGATCTGGTGAGAGATGTAAACAGGATAGCACCGGCTGGGAACAGTGACCATAATTTATTTATTTATTTGGATTTATCCCACCTTCCCCTTGACGGGCTCTGGGCAAGTTCCAACAGTGTAAATAAATACAACAATAATGCTATTTAAGTTTCGCATTTATGTAAATAGAGAGTTGCCCAAAAAGTCCAATGCAACCACATTTAACTTTAGAGGGGATAACTTCTCTGAAATGAGGGGGCTTGTGAAGAAGAAACAGAAAGGTAAGGAGGGTCAAATTCCTTCTAGGAGCTTGGAGACTATTTTAAATTACAATCATGGAAGTCTACAACATCTGCTGGGTTGCATAGCAACCCTGGACTTCTTTTGTGGTCTCTCATCCAAATACTAACCAGTGCCAACCAGATCAGGGCCCATTTGCAAATACTTCTTTGAAAACCTACCAGAGTGTCTTCTGAGAATGCAGAAATCCCTACCTTGCCTAGAGGGGGCTCTTTTCAGTGCCTTACTGATAAACATGGAAACATCATGTTAGGAGTGCTATGCATACTTCCCTAGACTTCCAGAAAGCTTTTGATAAAGTTCATCAAAGTCTCCTAAGTAAACTCAGCAGTCATGGGATAAGAGGACAAGTCCTCTTGTGGATTAAAAGCAGGAAACAAAGTAAGTATAAATAGGCAGTTTTCACAGTGGAAGGTGGTAAGCTGTGGGGTACTGCAGGGCTCGGTACTAGGTCCAGTGCTTTTTAACTTGTTCATTAATGATTTGGAGTTGGGAGTAAGCAGTGAAGTGGCTAAATTTGCAGATGACACTAAATTATTCAGGGCTATGAGAACCAGGGTACACTGTGTGGTGCTCCAGAGGGATTTGGCGAGGCTGGGCAAGTAGGCATCAATGTGGCAAATGATGTTCAACATGGGCAAGTGCAAAGTAATGCACATTGGAGCAAAAAATCCTAACTATAAATATACATTGATGAGGTCCAAACTGGCAGTAACTGACCAGGAGATAGATCTTGGAGTCATGGTAGAGAACTCAATGAAGATGTCAACTCAACTGTGCCACTGCAATAAAAAAGGCAAATGCCGGGGATTGTTAGGAAGGGGATTGAAAACAAATCATCCAGTACCATAATGCCCCTGTATAAACCTATGGTGCAGCTTCACTTGGAATACTGTATACAGTTCTGGTCACCAGACCTCAAAAAAAGGTATTATAGCATTGGTGCAGAAAAGGGCAACTAAAATTATTAAGGGGATGGAACACCTTCCCTATAAAGAAAGGTTAAAAAGGTTAGGGCTCTTTAGCTTGGAGAAACAATGACTGAGGGATGACATAACAGAGGTATACAAAATTATGCCTGGGATAGAGAAAGCAGAGAAAGAAGTACTTTTCTCCCTTTCTCCCAATACAAGAACTTGTGGGCACTCAATGAAATTAATGAGTAGGAGGCTTAGAACAGAGAAAAGGAAGTACTTCTTCACCCAAAGAGTAATTAACACATGGAATTGACTGCTGTGGTAAGTGGTGGCAGCTACAAGTATAGGCAGCTTCAAGAGGGAATTAGATAAACCTATGGAGCAGAGGTCCATCAGTGGCTATTAGCCACACCGTACAGATGGAACACTGTGAGAGTGATGCTCTGTATTCTTGGTGCATGGGGGGCAACAGTGGGAAGACCTCTGGAGTTCTGGCCCCACTGGTGGACCCGCTGATGACACCTGGGTTTTGGCCACTGTGTGACCCAGAGTGTTGGACTGGATGGGCCATTGGCCTGATCCAACATGGCTTCTCTTATGTTCTCTTAAGAAGAAGCTCACCAGAGCCAGCGTTCTTGCCGTCGCCACCAATAAGAGGCACGGTGATGGCAGCGGTAACACCATCACTGGGCATCGTCGTGTACACCACTGGAAGGGACTGTACCACCACCGGGATGGTCTGAAGGTTGCCCATCTTGCTGGGGAGGTTGACAGAAGGGATGGTGTGAATGACGTGCAGGATCTGTTGCCCACCGCTGCCCTGGGTGGAAGCCAGGATGGAGCCCGGGGAAAGCACCGCAGGGATGGCCGAGGATGAGCCCAGCCCCGTTGGCGACATGGAGACCACAGGTGCCTGGACGGGGGGTGTTGCCAACATGGGCGAGGATCGGACGGATGAGGGCAGAGACTGCAGGGAGGCCTTGGATTTGTTGAGGGAAAGGTCGACCGGCTCAGCCTGGGGCTGGCTACAGTCACTGGCCAGTAGCTCCTCTGGAGGTTCCGTCTTGATGTCACTCAGCAGCACCGGCGGCTCGATGGAGCTCTCCTCCAGCAGCGATGAGGAGCTCATCTTGAGTAGTGCCTTGCTGTGGGCCGAGCCTGCAGCCTGCAAGGAAGGAAAGAGCAATGAGCAGCCTGCGGCTCACAAGGCAGTTCCCACAACAACCACTCGGGGGAGCTAGCGAAACATGGATAAGGACAAGCAACCAGGGAAGCGGAGGCACAGAGAGGAAGGTTTGGAAGTGGCACCTATGATATTACCTGTTCCCTCTACCAGGACAAACAGCACTACCATGGAGCCAATTTATATTAACTATAGAAGGGGGGGAGGGTTAACAGCCCAACCCTCACCCAGCACTGGGGTCCTGATCCAAATTGCTCCGTACCAGGGGTTGCTACTTGAGAGAATTAAAGGAGGTGTGAGATGGGAGGACGGCAACTGAATCCTGTTCGTCCATAAATACAGAGCGTCTTGTGATATCACATGTAGATTAATCCTTGAGAAACTAGGGAGGGTCGAGGAAGAATCCTGGTAACATAAATTTAAAGCTGTTGTAACTGATTCCCCAAATAGGACTAAAGAAATAATCATTCTGCAAGGGAATCTAATAGTCCCTGACCAAGAATCCTCACAATTGTCAAGTCATGCAAGCAAAAGAAGAAGAATGTAAAGAAAGACAGCTTTTGTAGGGGGAGAAGGCAGCTGTGCAAGCTCACGGCACCCTGGGCAGCAGCTCCCCCCTTGCTGCTATTCCCCTTCGCAATACACCACGCCCTTGGTTTAGGGCACCAGCATCCCATGCCAAGGATGCAAGTTGGCTCAGCCAATTCGGAAAAAAAGCAAGGATGCAGCCCTCCCCAGAAAAGAGGGGTGGGGTTGACGGCAATTAATCCAAACTGCCTCGCTTCACATTTTCCCCCAGCAATGGCATTTTATTGTCAACCCCTGGCCAAAGCCTTAGCTTCCAAAGGCCAGGCAGCCCACAGGAAACAGCAGAAGCCTGGCCAGGGAGACAGGCGGGATGGGGGCGTCACTGGGAGGCAACCTTGGCATTTCCAGCTGCACAGGGAAGGCTGGCACTGAGCCTCCGCACACGCCCCCCCCTCCTCCCGAGAACAGGTGGAGCTTGAAAGACAAAGAGCCCATCCCCCTGGCAGCAGAAGCCTCTGGCTGCACTGGCAGAAGCCAGAAATGCAGCGGCTTCCATGTTAAAGGAGGGGAAGCAGGGTGGGGGAACAGCCTGAACCATCCATCAGCTTTTGTCTACCACCCAGACCCCACAGCATATTTGTCTTCTTGCACCACTCCTCGGCACATGCTAGGACAGAGCTTGTTCCAGCCCTGGGAGACGTCATGCAGGGCATTTGGGGCTGGGGTCCCTCAGAGAGACTCAACTAAGGGGCTAGTAGAAGCAGAGCTCTATCCAACGGGGCAGAGAGACACAGAATGCAAGAGGTTAATGGGCAGCTGAAAAGACTGGCTGACTTAGCATCACACAGACAGACTCCCCCCTTTGAGCCCACCAGCCTCCCACCGAGCCCCACAGACCCCCCTCGCTCTCCCCACCCTACAACATGCCTCTCCAGTAGTGGGCAAAGCACAAGTACCTCCCCTCTGTGTCTAGTGCATCTTGAGCGGAGGCAGGAATAACACCAAGAAGGGAGTGGGGTCCTCCCAGGCCTCACTTTGAGGCTCAAGCTCAGAGTCCAGGACATCCAACAGACAGTAAGATCCTTGGGGCAGGGATCTTGACTTTCTTGCCAGAGTTCTGTGGAGCCCTGACACACTGCTGGCAACCTGAGGTTAAGCTGTAGAAAGAAACTGGAATGCCTCTGATTTCCCTGCAGACCCACAAAGCCACAAGTGATCTGAGGAAGATGCTTGCAGATCCCAAACAGAGATTCTTAAGCAGACAGGATCTCCCCACTGAAGAGGTGACAGAGGAAGCCAGAAGAGGAAGCATCATGCTGAAGAACTCGCCATTCACTGGGCCAGGCCCTGCCTGCTACAAACAAGAGGTAGGGCGCAAACGATGTAAGCAGGGCCTCTCCCCATTTGTGGGCTCTGGGATGACCCACCACCACCTCCCCAACGGATACCAGGACCAAAATCCCCGCCATGGTTTCCTGGCTGCTGTTCTTAGGGTCCCTTTACAGCCCACGCACACCTTGCTTTCCCTAGCAATGCCAATAAGGGGCCACCCACTGCACCTGCCCCTCCCCAGCACTGTGGGAGACATGGATTATGAAAGAACCCATGCCTAATCCTGAAGCAGAGGTGTCCGCCATGCACTGGAACAGCCAGCTGCGTGTGGAGGGGGCAGGAAACTGAAGGAGGGGGAGCAGCCAGAACTTCATCTCTGTCCCTCCCCAAAAAGGGGGGGCAGGGAAAGGCTGAACAAAAGACCTCCCTCCTCCCCCATGGTGAACGAAGGCACTCACTGTGTGTTGCTATGGGAACAGGAGGGAGCCCGCATTGGGCTCCACCCAGTGTAAAGGGGGTGGTGGTGGAGCTCACACCCAGTCCCCCCTCCACTGTGGGGAGGGGGTGTTATTTCTGGAAGGCCAAAGGTCATCCGGATGAACCATCCCCTCCTTCACCATCTCTCCCCCTTTGAGCCTGCAGTGGTGTAGGGAGGAGGGAGACGGATGATCCCTCTCTTCCTCCTGGCCAAACATGCTGGGAGAAAGCCAGGGCCCCGCCCCCCACCCCGGTCTGGCCAGGTGGCTGGACTGAGAGGGGCATCCCAGGATTTCTGACAGCACTATAGGGGTGCTGAGACCATTCCCTTTGGTTGGCAATTCACTGCCCCGCTCCTCTGCCTGTTTTGGGCTCATGCAACTGAATTTGGGCTGCAGGGCACAGACAAAGCAGACCAGGCCTGGGTCTCCTTTGTCACTTCATTCTGACCCCTTCCCTTCCCATAACAGTTATAAGGGATGACAAGCAGTTAAGAGAAACGGGTGAGGGGGAACCATGCGGGCTAGATTCCTCGCTTCCCCAACTCCACCTCCAAGGGATTGCACAGTAAGATCTCGGCTCAGAGGCAGCTGTAACAGGAAACTGTGGCCTGGGTCCCTCATTTGCCATCACAGGGCACAGCCTAGCCAAAAAGCACAGGAGGGGAGGGATTATTTTGGCCAACCCTGTTGCACTTTTCCATTTTTAAAATGTCTTCAAGGTGACTTACAAGTATGAAGAGCGGAAAAGTCTAACACAACTATGCTACCATAACAAAACAAAACAAAACAAAAAAAGTCAAAACGAACAGATAAATTCCATTGCAGAAGCAAAACTCTATGCTACCATAACAAAACAAAACAAAAAAAGTCAAAATGAACAGATAAATTCCATTGCAGAAGCAAAAGTCAAACTTGATTGAATGGTCAGGTAAAAAGGACAATCTTAAACTACCACCTAAGTGATAAAGGTGGCACCAGGCAGATCCCCCTTGGAAGACACCCCAGAGACCCAGGGCACTACCACCAAGGAGGCCCTTTCCTTGATAGCCACCAAGGATAGGCCTTTCCTCATTTCCAGGCAGCCTCCTGTGGAAGAAGCCAGTCCTGCAGATACGCCAGTCCCTCCCAGGGCTCCACAGGTCAAAACCAGCATGTTTGAATTGTGTCGGAAGGAGCCTGGCAAGTGGCGGCAACCAAAAAAGCCCTGCAGAAAGAAGACAGGACAGAGTGGCGATGAAGTGGGGATTCCTGTTCTCCGGCAAAGGCACCCAGTTACACAAGGCACAGCTTTGCCATTCAGGAAGCAGGTAACCAACCCGGGACACTCCCTGGCCCATGATGAGGCTGGAGGTGCAACTAAAGAAAGAGAATGCAAGCACCCTCAGCACATTCAGAGAAGCAGGAAAGGCCTCCTGCTTCAGAAAAAGAAACAGGAGGATCGGTGTGTGCATTTGCTATGACTACAGTGACCCTGAATATGCCCGACGGAGAGCAAGGAAGGGTGGGTAGAGGGGATAAAAGATGCTGTTTCCTACCCTATCAATTCAGGCATTCTGACTGCTGCAAGTGATTCCAAACACAAAACTCACCATCCAGGGGTGATTGTTCTTCTGTGGTCATAATACGCCACATAAAGGTGGACCTCCTGCACAAGGCAACAGATGTGTCATCTGAGATCTGAGCCCGTACTGTGCAGCTGCAGACACAGCCAGGCGTGCTGAGTTCAAACCAAAAGGTTAGTTTGGGGGTTGAAAAGGGCCACTTCCAAGGAAACCTGCAGATGCCCCTCCAGGTCCACCGTGCTGCAGGGAGAAGCAGGCAGGCAGGGAGGCTCCAGGCTGAGTGGCCGGCAGAAGCCAGGGGAAGTGGACTCGGCGGCTGGCCTGTGGGTTTGCCAGTGGCAAAAAGTTACCCAGGGAGTGGGAGTCTCAAAGGCCCAGCCCTCTCTAGGTGTTTTTGCCAGAGGAGTTGCTTCCCTCTGGGATGTCAATGGGTGCTCAAACAGAAGGGCTTGCTAAGAAAGGGGCCAGCCGGATACCTGTGGAGAAGCCCCCTTTCGGCTAGGATACATAGGGCTGCTGTTCAGAGACTGGCCTGGCGGTGTCCTGGCCTAGTATCGAGACCAGCGTGCACTGACAGCTAGCGCATGCATACTGATCCCCTGCCCTGGTGCACAGATGCCCGGGATCAGTGGCAGCACCAGCTGGCCTGTCTGGGCTTGGCACAATGCCCAGAAGTTCAGTGCCAAGCTGCGCTGCAGGGACAGAAGTCTACAGCCACATGGTGTGTTGTGAGGGTGCACCTTTTAAATGTTTGCAAAGCTCAAGAATCCAGGATGGGCAGCAGGACGCAGACGAAATCAGGCAAACCCCTCCCCCACTCAGTTCCTGGGATCAAGGAGCACCTCAGCAACTCCCAGCCTCCTGCCTTCCCTCCCAGAGCCTCCTCTGCGTGCCCTAGATGGGTGGCTCCAAGACACTCCCAGCACTTCATGCACAAAACACATCCCTCCATCCTTCGGCAAGCCCAGGAGGCTCCCTTCCCCCAGCTGGGCCGGCCTCACCCACGTCTAGCCACCCCCTCCCCTCCCCGGAGCACTGGCTGCTTGCCTGCCTGGCCTCCTCCCTCCCTGTCAAGAGCCAGGACAATAGCGCTCCAGTTCCCACCACCCTGCCTGAGCCTGTCCTCTGACCAGAGGGTGAGAATTAAAGAAACCTCGGCTCCAGGAACTTGGTACTCCCTTCCGGACCCACACCAGCCACCCCTCCCCTGCCACACTGCCAGTCTCTGCCAGCCTGCCCCTCCCTTCCATCTGCTCCACACCCTGGCCCAGCCCCAGCCCCAAGGGATGCAAAACTGCCTTTGATCCCCTGTTCCAGCTGGGGGGCGGGAGGGCTTTGCCCTGAGGGCACCAACAGCAGCTCCCTTCTGCTGGCCAGGGAATGTGCCAGGGGAGGCAGGCTGCACGAACAGAAAGCTCCCTCCTTCTGGCTGGGGGGCCTCTCAGGGTGACCATAACTGGGAATGGAAAAAGCCTGAGACTTGGATGGGGCCAGGGCAGAGCAGGGCTGGAGGTGGAGTCAGCGCAGAGCTTAGTGTAAAAACCTCCTATTCACCTAAGCAGCTCAAAAGTAAAATGCCACAGAGCGCCGGGAGAGAGAGAACCGCTTCGCTGTTGCTCTTCTGGCAACCAGTCTGAAAGCAAATGGCAGCCAGGCCACTTTTTAAAGCTCTCCGAACCAGAATCCATAAGCAGCAGGAGGGCTGAAACAGACATAACACAAAGGATCCCTGATCACATCACTCTGTTTTCCATGGCAGAGGATGGGGTGGTTTTCTTAATTTATGTATACCCTGCTTTTCTCCCTAAGGAGAACCCAAAGTGGCTTACAACTTTATTCTCCCCTCGTTCATTTTATCCTCACAACAATCCTGTGAGGTAAGTTAGGCTGAGAGTGTGTGACTGGCCCAAGGTCCCCTAGCAAGTTTTCATGACAGAGTGGGAATCTGAAGCTCCCACACCCGAGTCCAGCCCTCGAACCCCTGCACCATCAACGGTCTGTGAGCTTAGCTACAGGCTACAACTGGCCACACTGCCCTAAGGCTGGGGTTTCCAGTGCCCCATATTTGAAGCAGTCTTACAGCAGTTCTGGAACTTCAGCTGCTGCAAAATCCCACCTGTTAGCAGGGTCCGGCTGAAGAGAATGCATGGCTCCAATTCCAGCACAACTGCACTGGGGCTGCCAATTCCCTCCAGGCCCAATTCAAAGTGCCCGTTCCTTTTATTATTAGAGCCTTTGACGATGAAGCACAAATGCTCAAGCATGGCTTAAGGGGACACTTTTTCCCCACTAACCCCTCCTGGACCTTGGAGTTCTGGAGGCAGTGAACTCTATGCCCAGTACCTTTTATTCACAGGTTAACAATTTATCAATGAACAGAGCGAGGGAGATGGATGGATAGACAAGACACACACACCCCTTTAAGCCTCTGAGTTTGTTTGTTTTTTAATGCAATGGCCTTTACTGAAAAGTCCAGCAAAACTTTAATCTTTTTGTAAAGGCATCAGATGCATTTTGTGGAGCACAATTATTTCAAAACCCAACCCTTTGACAGGGCACCTCCCCATTCCTCTGCAGTCCCCATCTTCCCCCTGCTGCTACCTTTTGCAACCCTCCCCCCAACACCTCTAAGCTCCAGCCAGCCACCCACCCACCCAGGCCTCAGAGTTCCTCACACACACCCTGTCTTCAAGCTCTCTTGGTCAGAAGGCTGCAGCTGCAGCTGACACCACCACCACACCCACCCTCCTCTGCATCCTCCTCAGCTTGGGGGGGGGGGGAGAAAGCCCCATGAGCTGAATTCTCTCTTCCTCAAATTGCCCATAGATCCCCAGAGATCCTGCAGGCAAGGGTCGTCAGTGGTGTGGGGGTTGGAATGCTGGACGAGGATGTGGGAGACCTGGGTGACCCTCACTCTGGGTGACCTTGGGCCAGTCACCCACTTTCAGCTTAACCTACCTCAACAGGGTTGTTGTGAGGATAAAATGGAGAAGAGGAGAATGGCATAAGCTGTTCTTAGTCCCCCACCGGGGGGAGGGGGGATTACTGAAGCAAATAAAGTTTGGAGCCAGTTTGGTGTAGTGGTTAAGTGTGTGGACTCTAATCTGGGAGAACTGGGTTTGATTCCCCACTCTTCCACTCGCAGCTGCTGGATGACCTTGGGCAAGCCATAGTTCTGGCAAAGGTGTTCATGAAAAAGAGCAGTTTCTGTCAGGGCTCTCCCAGCCCCACCTACCTCACAGGGTGTCTGTTGTGGGGAGGGGAAGGGAAAGGAGTTTGTAAGCCGCTCTGAGAATCCAAGTGAAGGGCAGGGTATAAATTCAATCTCCTCCTCCTCCTCCTTCTGCTAAATACAGCTCACTCCATTTGTGACACCAACATCTCCCGTGTCTCCAAACTCAAAACTGAGACAGAACTAATAAGCAAAATATCTAGAGAAAGACCCTCTGGGGGAGGGCCCTGAGGCAAGCAGTACTGCCCTGGGACTCAGCACCTGTGCCAATATACACGCCTGTTCCTGACAAGACGCCACTCAAAGCCATCGCCGTTCAAAGCATGGTCTGGATTTCAGAACAAGACATTATAACATGTACCTCCCTGAGATGGACCAGCCCCAGCTAACAGTGCATTCACTGTACCACCCCCAAACTGGTGCAGCACAGTGGCTGACCCCCCCAGCACTGCTACAGGGTCTCCTACTTGTTGGGCCCTTTGGCAAAAAGGAAAAGGGCAAGTCTAACCCGAGACTAGCCGTCCTTCTCCTCCCCTGCCACCACTCAGCCACAGTAGTGCCCAGCAGGAAGCCTGGCCAAGGAACAGGGGCACTCAACTATTCTCCCAAGACACCCGCTCAACCTGGTCTCTCACTAGGGCCAAAGGTCACAGCTGCCTAGCAAAGGGCGGTCGGCTTCCCTAGTTCCTACCGCCTCCCAGCACCCAAGGGCCAAAGGTCATGGAAACCCAGCAAAAGGCTGAACTCCAGCACAGGAAATGCCTTGAGCAGCCTCAGCTCGCATGGGGCTGAATGCCAAAAAGAGGCGGCTCTGCTGTGGAGTTGTGTGGGAGGCAGAGAAAGAGGCATCGCTCCAAAATGCAGCTCCTCCTCCTCCTCCATCTGTGTGCTTTGCAGGGGGGGGGGGCTAAGCAAAGCTATCACCTGGAACTCCAAACATCTGGGGGGATCTTCAACACCAGTTCTAAGCCACTGGCTGCATAAACCAGCAGAATCACTGGGTCTTACAACCAAGACTGCCTCTTATCCTTCCCAGGAGACTGGGTCTTATTGCACATGGGGACAGCTAGTGAGACCCCTCACTATTCAAGATGGTGCATCAGGGACTGAGGTTATTCTCCTGTAAGCACAGTCCAATAAGCAAGTACTGCATCCTTCAAACTCCAGAAACCTAAACTAACTCAGAGCAGACAGAAGTCTGCAGAAGGGCGGGGACTGTCCACACACCTCGCCTTGGTGGGCGTCAACACTCCAGACACCAGAGCCATGACGCCAACGATTTAAATACCATCAGTTGTTTAACTGCTTCCTTGCTGGTCAAAACACACCGAGCAGCTGAAGAAGCAAGCTGACTCACGCAAGCACATGCTGGAATGAGTGTTCTTCGCCTTTTAAGATGCCAGCAGGCTGATTTCAAAGCACAGATTGCCAGTGTGCACCACAGGTAAGTCTCACTTTCAGAAGGAGAAATGACCTCTTTTCCTGCCCACTGGACTGCTGCGGTGGATAAGGGGGCAAACCCCATCCAGACTCTCCTGGACCAAAGCATGCAAGTGCCTCTCACACTTTTGGCACCAGACAGCCCTAGTACCTACTTCTGAGACTACAACTCTTGTGCAGAGAAAAATAATCAGCCTGGTGCTTACAGATCCCTCCACCGTCCACGTGTCCAAAAACGTAAAGGCTCTAACTGAAGAAAATGCAACCAAATCAATTGGCTAAAAACTCAGCAGTTAAAAGTTGAGTCCAAAGTCATTTACTGGCTGATTGGATCCACTTCGTTACTAGAGTCGACTTTCATCCCAGCCCCACCCCATGCCACTCCTTGCCCCGCCTCTGCAATGAAGTTCCCCGGCAGCTAAAAGGTCACAGAGAGGCACCGGGTGCAAGAGGAAGAAAGCCAGAGGAGGCAGCCTCACCGCTACGGACTGCCTGGCAGTAACCTCAGAAGAGCCCTGCCAGTTCCAGATCTGGCCAAGGGTCTATGGCACCCAGCATTCTGTTTTCAACGGTAAGCACAGCTCACAAGCTACCGTCGTCCCCTAAGGTTTGCATCCAGCAATTAATAGTCAAGACATACACCATCCAACACAGATGTTTTATTGCGCTAGAGCCCGTTCAGTGGGCATTCACAGATAATGCTTCACTGCCAGCATGGGGGGCGGGGAGATCCCAGGACCCACAGGCTAGATTCACTGTAGTTGCCGGTGCCTACTGAGGACCAAAGTGTCCTACTTTGGGAGAAGGGACAGCCGGCTGGGCTGACCCCCATCAGAGGCGGTGGTTTCACAGGAGGAAACCTATTCGTCTGACGGCAACAAAGCAAAAATTGGGGCTTGAGGCACTTATAACCACCAGGCTCCTGCCAATATTGAAGCGTGAAAACACGCTGGTGGGCTGCCTCCGAACATGACCCGCCCCCCCCCATCCTAAAAGGCACAGCAGAGAGGTGCACCCTACGACCCAGCGCACTCTGTACATGCTCGAGGCGGCCTCCTCTAAGCTGCCTCCCCCACCTCCGAACAGCCTTCGGGCGCCCGTGTGCAGGGACTTTCCTTTCCTGGCGTGTCTCAGCCAAGGCAGCCGTTCCACTCACCGCCCAGGCCCCGTGCGCGGCGCTCATCCCTTCCGCGGGGAGGATCATCCCGAGCCGGCCTGGTCGAAGGACGCGGCGGACACGAGCAGATGGGCAGCGGCGAGCCCCGCGATCGCCGGCAAAGCGGACCACGACAGGAGCGAACCCAACGAGCCAGGCAAGCGAACAGCCTTCGTCTCCTTCGCCTGTACGACGCGCACTAGGGTCGCCGCTGCTGGATGGGTGTGTTCAACTGGCAGCCCCACCCTGGGGAGGGTTTGGCCAGGCCCAGCCGAGGAGGAGGAGGAGGAGGGGCGGGCGTTGCCCAGGGCCGCTCCCTCCCTCCCTCCCTGGGCGCGGGCGGCGGCGTAAATGGGACACTCGCTTGCTCCGGAAGGGTGGGAAGGACGAGGAAAGGCGTCCCTCTTTGGCCAACGGGCTAGGGAAGGCTCGCCATGGCAACGGTGGCGCCACCTCCGCTGTCGCTGCCCTCGTGGAGCCCTGACCGCGCACCTGGGCGCCAGGAAGGGAGGAGGGCGGCGGGATGGCTCCATCGTCTACTCCATGTACGTTGCAATCAATTGCCAAGCCCCCCCCCCCCCACAGCCTGGACCGGCACTCAAGGGCCAGCAGCTCCGTCCAGCCCCGGAAACAATTCCATAGGAACCTGCGGCATGCCCTGAATGGACTCCAAGGGCACAGATCCGCAGGTTTGTATTCACTTGGAAGGATAATTTCACCACTGTATCACTTTGACATGATGTTCTGTGGGTGTGCCACTCTCTAACATGCTAAGCTACCTCACAGGGTTCTGTGGGGACAGAACAAGGAAGGCGGCCTTGAAAGAATGGTGGGATAAACATGCAGGTTGGCATTGGTCATAATGAAGGATAGCAACACAGGTATATGTTTATTTACTTCATTTATGTTTTATTTACTTCATTTGTACCCCACATTTCTCTGGTTACATCATCCTCTCCACCATTTTATCTTCACAAGAACCTTGGGAGGTAGGTTAGGCTGAGAGTATGTGACCGGCCCAAAGTCACCCAGCAAGCTTCCATGGCATAATGAGGATCTGAACCTGGGTCTTCCACATCCTAGTTCGCCAGTCTAACCACTTGAATACGTTCAAGCAGGAGCCTCAGAAACCAGATTTGAAGCTTATTTCCATCTCCCTTACCCTCTGAAATATGAATCAGCAATCCTGTTGCGTGCACAGCTGCACACAGGGATTCAAGATGGGACAAATTATCATTTCAACTGGCAGAGTTCTGGGTGCAACATTGCCTCCAAGAAGCCTCTGCATTCCCTTCCAGGAATTTGGCCTGAGCCAGACCAGTTGCAGGGCCTGCTGCAATTCAGGCCTGACCTGAAAGACTGGGCCTGTGGTCACCATTTTAACCTGACCTACTTTGCGACGCCAAGACCTTCAGCATACCAGCTGGCCAAAGATGCAGCCCTGCTTACTGCTGCCACAGTGTAATCATGGCTACCCAGCCAAGCAAGTGCAGGGGTTGGAGAAAACCTGCTGCCATTTGTCACATTCTCAGCCCCCAAATGTGTAGATAATGGTGGGTGAATACCTGGAAGAGGAACTACAAGGCAGTGTGACTGGACGGAGGGGGCTCAAAGCTAAGTAAGAGGAGTGAAGATGCTAACAAACCACATGGTGCTTGGAAAAGAGGAGATTTGGGGAGCAGGAATCAGCTATGCAGAGTGGAACCAGCCTTTCTTTTTTAGCAAGATGCAGTAGCTGAAATGGAGACACAAATCTGTGTTTTGGCAAGCTGTAGTTCACAACCATCCCTACATACCATGCCCCAAACTTCACACCCCCTATTGTGTTAGGGAACAGCCCCCTTTGCTTCCCACTGTTTGCTTATGTGGGAAGAGAACCTTCACCAGCACCAGTGTTCCCTCTAAGCTGAGTTAGTGTGAGCTAGCTCACAGTTTTTTAGCCTCCAGCTCACAAATTTTTGTCTTAGCTCAGGAAGAATGGCTCCAGAGCAAACTAATTTATGCAGTAGCCCAATCGCTTGCTCACAACTTTAATGCCAGTAGCTCAAAAAGTAGAATTTTTGTTCACAAGACTCCACAGTTTAGAGGAAACATCCAGCACCCAATTTGATCAGCATCAGGGCTATTTTTGGTCAGGAACGCACAGGAACGGAGTTCCGGCTGGCTCCTGAGTTGGCCACGCCCAGCAAGAACTCATTAGCATAATAGGCCACACCCAACAGCAGGAACTCATTAGGATTGGCTACGTTAGGGGTGTGTGGCCTAACATGCAAAGGAGTTCCTGCTACAAAAAAAGGCTCTGGGTTTTGACAACAAACAAGGTAAACAGAATAAGAAAGGAACGGTGGGTGTGGCTGGATGACCACACTTCTGGTAACATGGGGGTGTGGCCCAATGTGCTAATGAGCGGTGCTGTCAGGGTGTGGCCTAACATGCTAATGAGTTTTGTTGTTGGGTGTGGTCTATTATGCTAATGAGTTCCTGCTGGGCTTTTTCTACGAAAAGAGCCCTGATCAGCATCATTCCATAACTGAACCACAGCCCTGTCACCATGCATGTGTGTAGCAGTTTGTAATAGGCTTGGTCTAAAGCAAAGCACAAGATGTGTAGGAGACCAACCCCGCCCTCTAGGGCAGCTGCTGGGGCTGTTTCTTCTGCAGGCTGGGGCTTGGGCAGTGGGTGAGACAGGAATGAAAAGCCTCACTGGCAAGGCTCCACCCTCCCTGTTCCTCGCCTGAACAAACAAAACCTTGTAGAGGCCCAGCTTGGGGGGGGGGGGCAAAGATAGATGGGGTGAGAGAGGAGTTGCCAGTGTTTGGGTCCTGTTATTTATGGGCAGCACAGATTGAGAGAGGTCACCCTAGAGCTGCATGACAGCTTGCCTATTCAGAAGGAGCTACAGAATTGGGCACAGCCAGCTTGGCCAGGCTCCCCAGCAAAGAGAGGATTCATTGCGCCAGGACTGCACGGGAATCGTCTTAATTTCCCATTTATGAACTGGGCCCAGCCCAGCCCAATTCCAGTGGCTCATCCACAATCGGAGGAGGACTACATCTTTGCTGCATGTCTAGGTGCTGTGGCAGGAGAGAGGCAGACTCCTGTGTCTACTGATCCACCAGCCACAAGGGCCGGACCGCAAAATCATGTAAATAGCCCTCTGCCATCTCTGGACATGAGTCGGTCATGTGGGCCAGAGCCAGTCATGTGGGCACCAGAGAGGAGAGGGCAGTTACAGGCTGAGTCACAGAGGGAGGGATGGGGCGGAGTGCAGATCTTCAAATGCAACGTTTGCTACTACCAGGAAGATGGGGAGGGGTAAGGGCCCAAATTCACTGGAAAAAGAAGTGCATACAATAAGGCCTTCCTGTAGTTCTTCCCAAAATGCTCGAGTTTAGTGAACTAGATTTCACCCTAGCCTGAGAGCTAACAAACATGGCCTCCTCAGCAATGCTTCTCTCTTTCTCCCTCTCCCTCTCATTTCCATCACACCCCAGTGTAACACAGGGGGTAACAGGAACCTTCCTGAGGTCTGTCTTTCTTGAGAGGCAATGTTCATGTTTTTGGTCCCCCACAGAAGCTTCCATCAGAAATAGAAAAACTGTCAGTAGAAATACAGCCTCCCGATCTAAGCCATTTCCCCCACCCCTTTTTTTGTGCCAACAGCTGACTTACAGTGTGTCCATATGGGGTTTTCAAGGCAAGAAGTGGTTTGCCAGTGCCTGCCTCTGCATAGTGATCCTGGTATTCCTTGGTGGTCTCCCATCCAAATACTAACCAGGGCTAAACCTGCTTAGTAGCAAAGATCCAACAAGATCAGGTTAGCCTGGGCTATCCACGTCAGGGCAAGACATCCCTACCTGGACACAGTCTGGGAATCCCTGGTTAGTCCAACGCTCCTGGAACTACAGAAACTACCTCTTCCTCCCAAAAGTCTGGGTACAGCAAACAGAATAAATCCTGGAGTCAAGAGAGAACCCTGTGGCCTTCACATCACTCACAGGACTGGACAATTTAAAGAATTTGTTCCACAAGGCAAAGAAGGAGGAGAAGGAGAAGAGGAGGAGATTGGATTTATATCCCGCCCTTCACTTGGAGTTTCAGAGCAGCTTACAAACTCCTTTCCCTTCCCCAGCTTTGAGCTTGCCCTGCGTCTGCCCTAAAAACCTCAGCCAGATTTCTAGTCTGGTGTTAGCTGGTTACTGCTCACTGGGCTGAAGCAGAATAGTAAAAAGCCCAGTAGCACATTTAAGACTAACAAACTATATTGTAACATAAGCTTTCGAGAAACACAGCTCTCTTCATCAGATGGGCTAAAGCAGAACATTCATCTTTAGCATCATAAAAGAGGCCACTGTGCAAATCCAAAGATGAAGTGCCACACCCTCTTCCCCACAAATGGATGATCAACTACATGCATGCACACACACGCCCAGTAATTGGGCATCCATATGTCCTTGTGATTGCTTGTGCCCTGAATCCAGTCCTGCAGCCCTGGATACAACCCTACCTTATGTGTAGTCTTCTAAATGCTACAACTGTGCTAGGGTCAGCTGTCATCAACAAACCAAAAGAGGGCTTGTCCAGCAGGTTTTGCCACCATCCTAAATGGAAGTATCCAATTGCAGAGAAACAACAAGGGTTCCCAACAGACACTGTATCTGAATAGCAAGAGTCCCTTGGCCCCAATTCAGGGTGGAGGCAGACAGAGCCAGCTGCCCCACTCCCAACAAAGTAATCACTGGGATAGATCATTAGCCCAGTCCCCTCTCCTTCCAAACAGAGATCCTCAGAAAGGGGGGGAGGTAACACTTCTCATTCCAAGGAGTCTGACATAAAGCCCATCCACTCACTTGGAACATCATATCCCGGGTTTGGAGCAGCAGTTCACCACTACACAGCAGAACTTTTCAAGCCTCAGAAAAAGTGTTCTTCACAGAAGTTTAAATGGAAGGAAATATTCTTCAGTGGAAAAAATCTAGCCATCTATCAATGATAGACTGTAGACAGGCGCCCACACAGAAACCTTCCTTCTGACCTTCTGGGCTTCTGTTTGTGCATGCTCCCGCCCTTCCTCTTGGTGGGGGGAAAAAATCCAGTGGAGATGTATTTAGTTGTTAGAATAGGGCTGGGTCTGTGTCACTATTGGGGCACCGGAAAACCAAGCCATGAGAGCCAAAAGC